AAAACCGTTACACAGACTTATTGAAGATCAAATCAAAGGATCTAATCTTTCTTATTTGATGACATGGATACACATTTAGCCATGCAGGATGTTCTGGTCGCATGCATCCATTTATGTGATAAGTGTGTCTACCAACTTTAGTAATCCCTTCTAAATGCCGGTTTGTAAGGTGTGTTTTGTAGGTCTGCTTAGGTTGAGTTGGACTTTTTCCCAGTGCCCTGTTGGATCCTGGGTAAGCAGGTTACTCTAACAAGCTTTACTTGGATCAGAGGCTGTTACACATGCAGAGGCCCCTCACAGCCGGACCTAGAGTTAGGACTTAGGGAAAGGGAGATTTTTTTTTTTTTTCTTTTACAAAAGTAAATGGGCAAACAGTTGTAGAGGAATAAGGTCTGCAACCCAGGAGTCTGGATCCACCTCTGGCACTTAGGGCGAGCCCTGTGGATCCATTCGCTGTCTTCTAAGCTGTGTGCAGCCTTTTTGCAGAATTGGTTTAATTCAGTCATATTGGAAGGATTTTAAGCATGGAAAGCATGCTTAAGGTCCAACACTTTATGTCAATCAGATTTATTTTCAGGCTTTGACTTGACGGCTTTCCCAGCTATTCCAAGGTATACTTGAAGGTGGGCTTCAGATTATTCTCAGGGACACTTGAGTTTAAGACACAAACTTCATAATTAACAGTTACCATTAGGGTTTTTATTTAAAGGTATAGGATCTATCAATTCAGGAAGCCATGAATGACCAACAGAGCGGCTCAAGGCCATCATACTACCACTACCATGCCTAAGAATAATGAATAGTGACTTGTTTGTTTCTTTTTCAGTTTTATTCCAGATGTAACAGAATCTCCACCTTCAAAAACCTTTAATTTATGCCTATTGAGTACACAAAATATTTTCCAGAAAGTCCCAAGGATCATCAAGATTACGCAACAGGTCTTTGTCTTTGTTCCTGTTAGCAGTGGTTTTAGTCGAACACTCTCCCAGAGACACAGGTTTAGCCTTTTATTGTTGAATCCTAAACATTGATCTCAACTGAGACATGTTAGAGCTGCGGTGCTTTAAATGCTGACCTGGGTTCTTTTGCCAGCTTCTGCATGACCTCATTGATGTGGCTTTGGATTATTTTGGTAGGCCAGCCACTCCTGGAGAGGTTCACCACCACTGAATGATTTCTCTATTTGTGGCTCTCACTGTGGTTTAGTGGAATCCAAAGGCCTTGGAAAAGGTTTGTTAACCCTTGATAGATTGTAGTGTCTGTCTTTCTCATCTGGTCTTAACTTTTCTAAGGTCAGAGCATGATTTAGACAATCTGTATAACCCGAGTATCTAAACTCAGCTTAATTGGTTATTTCATGTTTATTTTTAGTCATTCAACAGGTGTTGTTTTATTTCAAACTAAGAAAATGACCTTTATATTGTACAGGCTGCTGACCTCTTAAAGAGACTCTGTCACTCCTTATTTATAATGAAGACCAATCAGACTGATATCAATGTACCCTCTAATTACAAGCCATCAGCTGCTCTTATTAGGCTACATGTACTCCAGTGATGAAGCCAGTGGTTTCTTGCTTCAGTGAGTCTGCACATCAGCATGTTTGGCTTTGTTAAACCCGGCGGGAATTAGCTTTATCCTTCGGCTGACAATCTTTAATTACATGCATGATTAGTTACAGAACTGGGCTATTTGCAGATGGCTCAGCTCTAAGAGATTATTATTTTCTCTGATGTCTGATGCCAGAAAAGGGTATGTATGTTTTGGAATATGGTTGTCATGTATTGCTAAAAATCCAAACTGTGAGTGTGCATTGGCCAGTTATAAAGCATAGATCACCTTTTTATGGATCAGTAAAATTAGGACTCCGTCTTTGGAAAACACCTGACTGTCCGGCTGTCAGTGGTGTGTCCACGCCTGCTCACTGTGGATTTTTCTTTGATCGGTAAACGGGTGTGGCTTCAGTGTACATTGGTACAGGTCACTGGGCCTTCTTATCATAGTATCTGTAACCCCTATCTATGCTATATTACAATGTCCTTTGCCCTTTGTAATGTCTGTAAGACGGGATATATGATTTGATTAATCAGTTAACTGTCAACGGTGAGGAAGATAAGTTATCCATATTAAGATTTGCACCATGCAGAGCCCTATATGAATGAGATAGGCCCCTCATAAACTTAATAATGTTCTTTTTCACTAAACTAAACACAGGGCAGAGGCCATTTTGAAGAAATCAACTTTTGTTTTTGGGGTTTTTTTCTTGTCTGGCGAGTTATTCTTGTTCTGATTTATGGGTTGTCTCTAATGCCATTTAGCAGGCTTCATTAGAGATTAGTCTAAAACTACATGTGTTGGGTAAATTTATTTAAGAATATGTCTTGTTTTTTTTTTTTTTTTTTTTGTGTGTGTGTGTTGCCTTAAAGATTTCAAGCAAAAGGGAAAACCCCTTTACTTCAAAACAAAAAAACGTCAAAAATGTTTTGTTCACTTGTTGACCTGTACGTAGAGGAATGAAGGTTTGTATGCGAAGGTTGTGTAATGGATGCCAAACTGGTTCTTCTTGCTTTTCAACAGTTCTATTGAAAGGCAGATACTTTTGTAATCCAGTTAGGAAGAATACTAGTTACTGGCTTTCCTTTCTTCCTTACCTGTTGCTTCAACTCTGCTAATGTTGTTACACCATCTTTACCAGGACTCGCAGGAGTAAGGAATACTTTAATGTCATTGGGATTTTCCTTTTAAATAAAAGGAAATAAATTCCTTTTGCATTGTGTTTTGAATTGATGACAATAAGTGTAGAAGTAGTAATGGTAATAATTGTGACAAGGATAGTTGGATCAGAAACAAGATCATGCTTTTGAATATATAAAATGGTAATTAACAAATTCTAAATGAACAAAAATAAAAATCAATCCTCCATAAATATTTCTACAAATAATACTTCCAATTTGTTTTCCTTGGGGATTCCCCCTCCAGGGAAAAAGTTACATTTGTTCCACCCAGATTTCCTATAGGTATGCTATGATAAAGTCGTGTGTTAGTGGACTTTATTAGCTATCACTTTTTGTGGCGTATGGGTTTTGTCAGTCACAGCATGCTGCACATCTATCAATACTATCAAATATGTATTTCTTTTGGTGGGGTTGATGTATGGAACAAATTAGACCAGGAGCTAAAAGATTGTACATTAACAAGGTTTAAAAACATATTTGATAATTATACAATAAAAAAATTATGAAACACGTGAATGCAGTTAAGAGCTGTAAGCATTACCTTTTTTTCCCCCTAAAATGTTATCATTGTAGAATAATAATTTTTTCCTAAAATCATACATTGATATGTATTATAAATGTTAGCCATCTTTTTATCTTTTTTTTTCTTCTGTTTTCTAGTCCAATGTAACTTGGCTTTGGAGCGTGGGCATTATAAGCTTCTTGCTTACACCCCTTTTCAGACTGTTTTAATTTATGTTATATGGGCATATACTGTCTTTATGATACACTTGTATGTCTGAAATGAATAAATAAACACAGGATTTCTATGTTAAAAATTCTATTTTTATTTGGTCCTTTGTAAAAGAAGTTTTTGATAATATTTTATTTATTAAGTATTGTCATGGTGCATTTATGATCCTCAATTTCATTGTGTTTGTAAGAGGGAACATTTTAAAAGTTATAGCATGCATGCTGGAGTTCCTTAAAAGTAACTTGGAACTGGATCATGTCTTCCTGTAATGACCGTCTCAGTTATCTTAAGGCTGTGGAGAAAAAAAGAAATCTCAACCTGATCTATTTTTGCTCTCTTAAGATGACGCCTTCTGTGTTCCCTGCAGCTGACAGGGATGACGTTATGTCTTTGCTCCGATAGGGTAGGGAGAAAGTGGGCGGGGCTTCAGCGGTCTGAGCTTCAGGTGAGATTTAAAGTTTTCGCAACAAGCCGCGGGGGTAGACGTTACTGGAGCGCGTGAAACACAACAAGCCGACCTGTTGGATTCTAACTAACTGGAACATAAAATAAATAGTCTGGACAGATGAAAATACACAGCTCGATGTTTCTGGGAGGAAAAAATGTACTGGGAACAACTTCTCCGTTTAAAGATTGGAAAGGTGAGCGGTAGTTTTTATTTTTATTTTTTAACGCTCGTTAGAGATAGTTGCCTCTGTTGTGAATATATTTCCAAACGTATATACACTCAACAAAAAGAATAAAGCGAAATGCACTTCATAGTTTTCCTCAATGCATGTTCAGCTGCGATCTCTGTTAGTCATCCAGGTGAGACAGTAGCTACTATGATGGTGTGTACTGTTACTTTGATCAGTCATAGCAGCTCTCTGTGTGATTCAGGAATCAGCTCCTCTGAAGGTGATGGACTCATTTTCTCTATTAGGTTTCATCCATTTACTAAAATGAATGAAGAAAAACTCCCTTTGGACTTTTTTTTTTTTTTTTTCCAGTATCTTTAAGGCAGTGAAGAAAATTAGGTCACAGTCTGGAAGGAAGGACAACTGTCGTGATCTACAAAAACTGCTTCAAGCCAAGATTTAAAACCCTGTTGCACCTCATGCACAAATACAATGGAAAAGTTTTAGTTTCACTGGTTTAATTTAGTAAAAAATGTTCTTTACAGAACCTTTACTTATCTGGGTATTAATTGATTAATCAAAAAAAATAATCGACAGATGAATCAATTTGCAAAAGAATCCTAGTAATAATGTTTTTCTTACAGTTTCTTTTCCACTGAACTGATAAATGAGAAGTTAATAGCGGGCATCTTTCTCTTGAGAGAAGCTGTGACCATAAGTTGCCTTTTCAGCTGTCTCACTTTTCCTCTTTTCAAGCAACAAGCCCAAAAAAAAGCAGAAACCTTTTTTTTATCATGTCAGCAAATTTGGCAAGAGCTGACAAAATGCAACTCCAAACTTTTTCCTTCATTATTTAAATGCCTTACCTCATCCCGATGCCCTTTTACCCACTCTAAACTTCCTCTCTGTTTAATCAAGATTGACCGGCTGGAGGTGAGCGGGTTGGGCCAAACACCCCTCGCTGTTTCGTACGGGGCGGACAGCTCCTTCCCTTCCAGTGAGGATGGCACCCCTGACCCTCAGCGCACCAAGCAGGCAATCGCTCAGCTGCAGCAGAAGATCCTCAAGCTCACAGAGCAGATTAAGATTGAGCAGACAGCAAGGGACGACAACGTAGCAGAATACCTCAAGCTCGCCAACAATGCTGACAAACAGCAAAGCACACGTATCAAACAGGTACGGGACTGGATGATTGAATCTTTGAGTGTTTGGTTTAGCATTTTATCACAGTTTCTTGCACAATCGCTACATCCAAAATGAAAGTTTTTATATCGGTTGCTATCGAAAAAAGTTGCTATCAAAAAAGTATTTAGTGTTATTCTTTGTGATTTTATACCTTATGTGGCTCGCAGGTGTTTGAGAAAAAGAACCAGAAGTCGGCGCAGACCATCCAGCAGCTGCAGAGGAAGCTGGAGCACTACCATCGGAAGCTGAGGGAAGTAGAGCACAACGGAATCCCACGCCAGCCCAAGGATGTTTTGCGGGACATGCAGCAGGGCCTGAAGGATGTCGGTGCCAAAGTGAGCGGCTTTAGCGAGGGTGTTGTGGACAGCGTGAAGGGGGGCCTATCCAGCTTCTCCCAGGCTACCCACTCCGCTGCAGGCGCGGTCGTCTCCAAGCCACGGGAGATTGCCTCGCTCATTCGCAACAAATTCGGCAGTGCAGACAACATCCCTAACCTCAAAGACTCGCTAGATGACCCCTCAGTGGAAGAGGGTGTGACAGGAGGAGGCGGACGATCCCTGACTAATGCTGGACATCAGTTCCAGTTGAGTCCCAAATACATTAGTGACGACGACTGCTCTAGTGCTACATCGGGTTCAGCCGGGGCTAACAGCACCACCGGGGCTCCTGGGGGCCCTCCAAGCTCCAAGGGCAACACACTGGAGAGAAGCCAGGGCTCCAGTTTAGACATGCTGCTACAGGAGATGCAGGACTTAAGGGAGGGTCAGACGAGGCTCGAGGAGAGCCTGGAAACTTTGAGGAGCAACTATCAGAGAGACTATACAGTCATTATGGAGGCGCTGCAGGAGGAACGCTACAGGTAACAGAACGGCTTGTCCTATCTCGCATTCCTAGGAAGTTTTTATATGATCACAATCAATGGTTAGGAGGAAATTCCCGCACCTAACCGGAAACCCCTGCTAATTTTAGACACAAATCTATTATTCATCTAAGGTGACATCATCACCAGCAGTAATGATGTTTTTATTTAATATGTCCTACATTAAAAAAAAAAAAAAAAAGCAGTAACAGGCAGTTAATCCATTATTAAAAAATACTATTTACTGCCAACATGAAAACAAGTCACCTTTAATATTTACTCCAAAAAAATAACACCTTTTGGGAAACACATTTAGCTAATTTTACCCCACTTATTATTTTATAAAGCATTATAGTTTTTCTAATTGTTAGACAGCAGCTTGTGTTTTATCTGAGATTCTTAAAATGTGCCAAACATCTCCCACGCCCACGGTTCTTCTCAGTAATCGTTCCTCATTGTTATATCAGCAATTTTCTCAGGACTCCATTTAAACTCTGGCCTTGAAACACACATTCACATTGCTAAGGAATGCTTTGACATGAGGGCACTAACATTGAGCCCAGATGAAGAATTTTTGGACATTCTTCTTCCTAAAATGTCCCGGCCCAGAGCAGCATCTGTTTTTTTTTTTTTTGTTTGTTTGTTTTTTTTTATTCTGTAAAGCTAAAATAATTTCCACTTTGCAGGACTGATAAGTCAGGTTTATTCCCGTCTGTTGCAACAAAATAAAACACCCATAAACAACCTGACCTACAATAACTCCTCAGCAACTAAATCCAACGATTAAATCCCTACAACTGAAAATTACCGTTATTGGTGTTAGCTTTAGCTGTTAACGGAGAGCCAGGCATTTACCAAGATATTTATTTAACGCTAAATCTAAGCTATGAATGCCTTTCAAAATAAGAGACTTGGTAAATAGTAGGTTGAATTATAAAGGGATTAGGTTTTAGGCCAATGCTAGCCATCATATGATTACTTTAAACTTTCAAGACAAAGCTAACAGGTACTCCATGTGAATAATTATTGGAGTAGGTTTCAAATACCTATTTGCATATGATAGTAATCACCATGGTTGCTAATTTAAATTTCAGTGAGTAATGTTAATAAAAAGTAATGTCTCTTTGAAATAATAACATTAATACAAAAAATATATATTGTAAATATTTTCTACACATTTCTGAATTCAAATAAGATATTACTGAAAAAAACTGAAAAAACTATAGTGTTTGGCTTTTAAGTTGAAGCCCACAGATGCTCATCAAAATAAAATATTTCGATAGGATTAATTATCCAGGTGATTATTCTCCAGATTCCAACTATTAAGGGACCTAAACTAGAAATTAAAAACTTTTCCTGTTGATTTCCTTTTTCTTTTCGTAATGAAGGAAAAAAAAAAAAACTAATGCAGAACTCTTTAATGGAAATTTATCTAATTCCATTGTTTACACTAAAGGTTCTGTTTAATTGAATTCCTTGCTCTGTGCTCAGGCCACAATGTCCTGTATTTTAGGTTAGGATAGTTGCTAAAGATCAAATTTTATACTTTATTGCAAGTTATTCTAATACATAAGGGAGCTGATGTTTTCCTGACGATAAATAAAGGTATGGACGTGGAGTCTTTTGTGAATTTTGTCTTTCCAATTATCTGAGACCCAAACAAAGGGAGTACAGATCCCCCTCCTCTTAATGAGCATTCTCCATTGGCCAGTCTCACAACAGTAGCTCTCCCTGTGATTGGCCAGTTGGATGAGGAGATGAGTAAGCAGGTCCTAATCTTATCAGCACAGGTCATCAGGGCTGTTAGGTACCATGTTGTCAAATGCCCTCTGGCCTGTTTCTTCTAAAGTCTACATCTTTTTTTTTGTTTTCGCTCTATTTCGGGTGGGAGCTAATTATGGCTCGGGTGCTGACACCTGCTTTCTCCGTGTGCGTCTCTAGGTGTGAGCGTTTGGAGGAACAGTTGAACGACCTGACAGAGCTCCATCAGAATGAGATCCTCAACCTCAAACAGGAGCTGGTCAGCATGGAGGAGAAGATCGCTTACCAGTCCTATGAGAGAGCTCGAGACATCCAGGTGGGTTTCTGAGACCTCTGTCCATATGCAGCTCATCCATGTTACAAATAATCATCTGCTTTGAGAGAAACCTGCCAGAATTCTACTAAAAAATACTCAGATTCAAATATTAAGTTGATGATTAATAAAGAAAGTTATTTCTCATTTCTGTAATGAGTTAAGGCAGCAATTACAATACTGCATTGTTAAAATAGAAATATAGCTTGTGCAGTTTTTAGGAAGCTTCTTTTTTTTTTTAAGTGTTTTAATTGATTTTGTGGTCACTAATTGCTCCTCTCTTATCGCACCCACAAAAGCTATTAAGTGTTTTCTAGTTACTGTGGAGATAAGGATGATAAATGACCATTCATGGTGTGCAGGCTTTTACTAATTGCTTGCTCCTTTTAATCTGCTTATTTACCTTTTAATTCGGGGCTATAGCATAGTCCTTGTTATGGCTCCTTTGCTATCACATGTGGTATGCCTGCATGGTTTCCTGTTTTTAAAGCAGTTGTGAGCTAATATGGGCTAGTCGGGCGCGTGTTCAACTAAGGTGGTCACACACCCTGCAACAGTCAGTGGCATTATCTCACCATGCATATTGATAGTGTAAACAGGAAGTTCTGCCCAAGGAATTCAGTTTGTCCAGCAGGTTTTCTGTTTGTCCAAAACAAAAGCACTTCCTTGTAAGAGACTCTCATTACTCATCCTTGCCTGCTGTCTGTGAGGGCTTGAGTTTTAGTCTTTTATTTTATTTTTATAAATGATCCTGCATAACTCACTCTTGTTAAAGTTGTTTCTCGCTCCATTTCCTTTCCCTGGCAACAGAAGAATGTAAAGATACACCTCTATTGACCAGCTAATACTATGGGTCCTTTAAAAATAAGTAAACAGTTGAAAATGATGCAGAGAGAGAAACCGATAAGGCTGCAGGTCTCGTTTGCAGAAGCGATTAACTTTTGGGGTTATTCCCAATAAAACGATAAACAAGTTGAAATGTCTCAATTCCAAAAATTAAAAAAAGCAGCAAATAATCTACTCTTAATTAATAAACACCTTACAACGAAAGAGAAATATCCAACCTGGTAAGATGGGGAGGAAGAGGGTGGTCCAAAAAGATGTTTCTCTTCCGTAAGAAAAGACATTCTGTAACAAGTCAGGATTTTATTAATCAGGCTTTTGATAACAGTCTGCAGGTTATTGATTATTTTTCTCCCTAGCAATACTTGGTTTTGTTTCTCATTAAAGTTGATTCTTGCTATTAAGCGTTGTCATTTCAGGAAGCAGAATGTGTACTGCAGCTTTTACAGCGAAAGTCTTTGAGCTTTTAGATTTGATACATATTCGTAAAGACTCAGGCATCATGGCTGGCTTTTCTGAACTGCTGGAGAAGCTAATCCCAGCTTTACTGAACTGTGTTATCTGTCCAAATTAGGTTATCGCATCCTGTTTTACTGAATAACCTAAAACATTTAACACATTTTTAATAAAATCAAGTAAAAGTTAGTAGTTTGATCAGTTTACAGAGGTGAATTGTATACACTTGTTAAGAAACGGTAAAAAGTAACACTGGAGGTTACTTGTGTTTTATGTTGGCTGTGTGATCTTATTTGAAAGTATCACTTTTCAAAAATAAAGTGAAACATGCAGAAACTCAGTTTTGTTGATTTAGAGTTTATGTAAAATATAACCATCCCAGAAATGCTGCTGTGGGGTTGTGTGTACAGTAGCAGCCTTTCATAATAGCCCTTCCTAGTCAAACGCAAGCCGAATGGCAGCCTACTCCCCTGCAACTCCATGAACCCAACATACTTTTTGATTTTACTTTTTTACTCTGACTCCACCCTGTCAATGAATTACAGCGTCTGACCAGGAGATGATGCTTCTCTTTAGATCTTAATGTCCACAAATCATGACAGACAGAACATTTTAGTACAAATATTGATGTTTTAAAAGGAATTTTAGGGGACCAGCCAAGGTCCCATCAAGGAAAGTGGGGAAATTTTGAATGGCTACTACTGTATGTGTGTGAAAGTGCAATATGGGTTATCGACCTTAAAAGCAATATTAATATCTGTTATGCATATCGGACCAAAGGGTTTAAGACGTGTTTGCTGAAGATTTCCCGGCTTTTTTTTTTTTATTGGGGTAAAAAATGTTGGACCTCTGTCAGTACTCTCCTGTTTGGCAATGATGCTAAGGTATGTTTCATGTGACACCCTGCTATATTTTTTATGAAGTTCTGTTTTAAACAGGACAGGCTGCAAATAAACAGCTGTCAACAACAGAGGGGAACTCTGTGGATCCATCCTGCTGCGTGTTTACTTTGAGTTGCTGCTTTTATTTATAAAAATGGTCACTTGGCTAACCTTTTTTTTCCCCTTTTTCCTGTCTATCTCCACAGGAGGCTCTGGAAGCGTGTCAGACCAGGATCTCCAAGATGGAGCTCCAGCAGCAGCATCAGCAGGTTGTCCAGTTGGAGGGGCTGGAAAATGCCACAGCCCGGACCCTCCTGGGAAAACTTATCAATGTCCTGCTGGCCCTTATGGCCGTCCTTCTGGTATTTGTCTCAACTGTGGCCAACTGCGTGGTCCCGCTGATGAGGACGCGCTCGCGCTCCATCTCCACCATTCTCGTCGTTCTCCTGCTGGCCTTCCTGTGGAGAAACTGGGACGCTCTGTCGGGCTACACGCACCGTGCACTGAAGCCCCCCGGATGACTAGATGGGCAAATCGCTTTGGTCTCACCCGATGATAAAACTGTCATTGCAGTCACGCAAGAGTTTCAGAGAATGTGATTACATTAGGATGGCTGTTTAGCCGTGTACTCTGAGCACATTTGGTGACAACCTGAAACTAAGATAAAGAGGAAGAGTCAGCGAGCAGCGGAAGACGCTCACTCTGAGGAAGGAAGAGACTGTTTACAGAAAATAAAACAACATGGTGTTATCCATCACAGGAAGCAACATTGTACTGTTTTTATCTATAGATTTTAACCAATTTTAATGTTATTTCTAATATTATTTTATTTCCACTGTTATTTTATTCAGTACCATGTAGCATTATGACCTTCTCTCTCCACATAAGAGGACAGTTTAGTCAGGAAACTGGGCTGACACCTCGCCCTTAAGGTCCAGTCTAATTTTATACGCATGAGGGAATGTGGTTGATTGCTTTTTAAGAGAAGAAGAAAACCCTTACCTTACTGTGATTGGTGGATTGGAACCACGATTATGAACTTAAATGGGAGATGGTCCAGTTTTGCTGTGATGAACTGGTTCAGAAGGACTGAATATGACTTGAGATGTGGTGTTTTCTTAGCATTTCTACTTGTTTGCACCACCTGCTTTAAATTATCTTCCTTTTTAGGTGATAAAGTTTGATTAATGATTGTTATGAATGACAGATGTAGACTTAAAACGACATGCTGCTCACCGTTTAAAAGAAAAAGGCACATCAGTAGAGAGCATCTGTCGATTCTCAAGCATCTGCCATATATAAGAAACATGGAAACAAAGCCTCTTGATGTCATTAAGAACATTACATGCAAACCAGTTTTGCTGTGAAAAGCAATGACAGAGTGATGTTGTCCATGTAAAATCAATTTGCAGGATAATTGCCTCCCACCTGCCAGATTTGATATGATCAGTGAAGGAAAGAGATCGCTGGTGCTCATCCAGCTCCATCCCAGTTGATTCGGGAGCGACGCTGCCTAAAATCGACACTATACGTCATCTCCACTGCCATGCAGATGAACACTGCCTGTATTTAACGCTGTATTTAAACATCCTTCCAGCATATGAACTGTGTCTTTGTTTTGTTTTTTTACAAGCACTAATTCTGTATACGTTAACACCCAGTGCCAAAACCTGAGGTAAACCAGGGGGTGACTGAGCATACTGAACGGTGGCACAGTTAAGATGAAGCTCTGGATTTTTCACATTGGTCATGAATGTATGCTGCTGGGCTGTCAGGGATGCAGCTTGTTGGGGAAACCATTCCTTATCTGAACATAACCTTACTGCAGAGCTACAGCTGTGTGTTTCTGCACCTTTGTCTTGACGAGTTCAATTCATGAATCCATGAGCCTTTCTAGGTCTGTTTTGTTCTCATCATGTCAGAGGCACCCCAATATGTACTAGAAACCATCCTCCCTGATTTTCAGTGGCAGATTATTAGTTTGATCATCCGAACTGTACAGCTGCACTTTAGCACTGCGTGTGACGGCACATAGGTCCAGCTGAAGTTAAGCGATGCTTTGATAGAGACTTAAAGCTGACTCAGGTCAGGTTCGTGGTCACCTTTGTTAAAAATGACTTGTGTGTGACTGTGTCTAAATCAAAGTAAAACTTGACTCCCCTCAAGATAAACAGATTTAAAAATTATATTTTTTCATCTGTTTCTATTTTGCGATGAGAAGACCATTGGGTGAGCTGAACATTAACCTTGCATGACTTTCTCTGTAACACCTATTGTGTAGGGTTTTGTGCTAAACCACTTCAGTGCCTTCTGATGTCCTTTTCTAAGTGTGAAATAAATAAAGTGCATTCCCAACTAAGCTTTGTTTCAACTGTTCCTGTCATTTGTTTTGAGATGCATTAGAGTAGGTTAGAGTAGAGTATAAAGTAGGTTCATGTACTGTTGGGAAGATAACTATTAAGCATGAATCAAGTTTTTTTTAACTAAATATGTTTTAGTAGGGCGATATGATTTAAAAATAAGATTTTATTTTTTCATAACAAATCTATTTTTTGTCTTCCCTATAAAAAGAGATGAAATTACTTTTAAAGATCAGCTTTTTAACTGTTTATTTCAATCACTCATTGGGTGGAGTCCTGCTTCATGAAGATGTAACAAGGCATTTATTTATGGAAAAACTACACCTGCTTATTTCAAAACTCTTTAAAAGTTTTATTTTTAAGCCTTTTTTTTTTTACAAAGTTTAACAATACAGAAAAAATGTATGGAAAATGTAAACGTGGTTCACTTCTTGACAGCAATGTATTTCTGACATTATTTTTAAACATACTAGATTTTTTAGGAAGGATAAATTATTCACATGCCTACAGTTATGCAACTACAGTTGGATATTTTTCTTAACTGCCAATTTTCAGCATTAACTTCCTCATTCAGTTACTTATAAATTGAGCCATAAGACAGAACAATGTGTGATGATCTGGTTCAGAGATGTGATGGTCACTAATTTCTCCTAATTTTTACACAGTATGAAAATCAAGGGTTCAATCTGTAACTTGAGGAGAAAAAATACCATAAAAAAAGCTTAGCCTTTAGAAGAACCTTTAATGCTCATGCAGCAGAAGGAATGTAATGCTATCAACATGTTTCCAAGAGTCAAGAGGGGAGCTAGAAGTAGCTTTCATCCAGTAATTCAAACAGAGCCACACTGTGGAAAAAAAGACAGGAAAGAGACAAACAACCCAATAATCATTAAACCCACAGTGTAGCACAGTGGTAGGAGCATTACCCTATGGGGGTTCTTAGTACATCTGGGACTGAAAATGAGGAAAATCGTGAAGATTTTGAAAGAAAATCTGAAGCACTCGGTACCAACAGACGCATTGTTGCTGGTTCTGGTTCATTTTGTCTTTTGAAATAAAAATGGTTTGAAACATATGTAACTGCCAGACTTTCCTCTAAAGAGTCACTCCCAGCCCATTAGAAATTTGAGTAATGAGCTAAGGTCAAAGGTCCATGCCAGGAGAGCATCAAATATGCAGGAGTGTCAAACTTCTAAGGTTTAGTTAGTTATGAGTCTTTTGAAGTTCGGGTTAGTAGACAGCTGACTGATGAGAATAATCCATAAAGGAGTCACAATATATGATGGGTCACAGAATATATACATATGTATATATAATATATAAAAAATGACAAAAGTTGTCTCAGAATATGGTGTATTCTTTGCTTGTCCTCAACTGATTTGTTGAAAGTTTAGAGACTTAAATGTTGTTTTATGTTAAATTAAAAATATATATATATTCTATATATTATATTTTATATTTTCCATAAAGTTAGTTTTCTGGGTTAAGATTTTTTTTTATACCTGTCCTGATGTTTCTATTCCATCCACCAGATGGCGCTCTCTTACCTTGCATGTCAGTCATGCCCGAGACGCTTAGGCGTTATTAGTGCAATAAAATGCTTCCAAACACATATGACTGTGGTTTCTTATCAAGACGGAAGCAGAGCAGGTTAGGTGCTAAATAGGTCAGAGCTGTGGAAGTAGCCTATTCTCATGATAAAAGCGCAAACTCATTTAACTTCTACTAAGGATTTATGATGCTGACCCGTCTGGCCCAACCTTCAACCCTCCTAAACTCCTCACCCCCCCACCTGCATCTTACTTAAATGCGTGTTGCATTTTTAAGTTAATAATGATGCACTTTATCACCTTCCTCCTCTTCCACGCTGTCAGATTTGATGCGCATGGCTGTGCGCCAAAGGAAACACTGGTGGTGCTCTTATCTGTCCAGCTGAAAGCTGCAAGTGGTGACCGTGGGAGGGAGGGGAGTTGTTGTCCCCCAGAGGAGTCCACGGCAAATTGGCAGAGAGCGATTCCACACGATTTAGCATCAACTTTAATTATTGCGTGTATTCAGAGATAACACTTCTCTGGCTCCCCTGCAAACTGATTTATGCAGCGTCTGACGCACCGGTTTGTCGCTCCACAACAAAGTGTTCGGTTCAGAGATGAGAGAGAGAGAGAGAGCATATGCACAGTCCAAAAATGCAAACCATATTCCATTTTTGGGAGGGATGGGGAGGGCGCATGTGTTTGAGCGTAAATATTTATGACTTGAAAGGAATCTGCGGTGGATGTCAGAGCCCGGAAAGGTGCGCTTTACGCGTCCATCTGGTTGCACTTTCACGGTTCTTACCGCGCCTTCTGTGCCCAGAACGGAACCCTCCGGATCTGCAGAACTAATCTGAGAGTCGGGCGATTTGGAGAGCACAGAAGGTGGGATGGTGACCCGTCATTAACCTCAATATGAGCGGAACAACCATGCCAAGATGGTGATGGAGGCTCATCTTGATAGGGCCGTCAGATGGCCACATGTATTCATACAAGTACATTATTGGGAGCTGATAGATTAACGCACCTCTGCTAAAACACCCGGTTTTGGCATCAAGATAAAACATTGATTGATTTTTTTTAAATGTATCTTTGGTCTTTTTTTCGGTAACAGCAAGTAATGTAAATCTGGTAAAGGTGTTTTAGCAGACTTTTCCCACATTGTTCCAAATGTACCTCCAGCCTTTTGCTTTGGCCCCAGTTTAGAAAGGTTAGAGGGCCTCTGTGAGTCAGGAGAGGTGTAACCCCCCCTAAAAAAAATCCAAAAGACACAACAGGCACTGGTCAGTAAGGCTGTTAAGAGATGTTTTTAGCACGTCACAGTGGTTTATATTCTATATGTGCTGGAAACACCTATAAATATATGTGTGCATTATCCAATCCATTATCCAATAGTGTGCATTACCAGATGACCAAGACAGAAGTCACCACAGGGTCAGTTGCAATGGAATGGGGAGTGACAGAATGTTTTGGTACTGCAGATGATGACAAGCATACCTCCCCCTTTCACTGGAGAGAAAAAGCAAGCAGATTTCAGAGCTACTCTAGGATTTATTGGATGACCAAAGTTGGGGATAAAAGTATTTTTCTTATAAAGGAGTTAAAAGTTTACTTTTAGTTAGTATTTGAATCAATATTGTATGTATCTAGATAACTGGGTTAAGTTAGGTCATTATTTGTTTTATCAGTTGTTTTATCATGGCTGACAGGAAGTGGGAGTTGGATATTTTATTTAAGAGCAAATTTGGTTAATTTTTTTATTCAATATATTGCATTTAATCAGTTCCATCGTTTCGGTGTCTTTATATATGATTGTGGCAGAAATCTTGGTGTCATGATGGACTCAGAGCTGAACCTTCACAGGCGCATAAAGGCTGTTACCAGGTCAGCCTTTTATCACCTGAAGAACATTTCCAGGATGAAAAGACTGATGTCCAAGCAGGATCTAGAAACACTCATTCATGCATTTATCTTTAGTAGAATTGATCACTGCTACAGTGTCTTCATAGGTTTACCTACGAAGTCCATCAGCCAGCTGCAGCTGATCCAAAACGCTGCTGCCTGTGTTCTCATAGAACTAAGAAAGTAAAGCACATCAGCCTGGTTCTGAAGTCCTCACAATGGCTCCCTGTAGCCCAAAGAATAGACTTTAAAATCGTTCTGTTAGTCTATAAATCGCTGAATGAATCAGCACCAAAATACATAACAGATCTGTTGTCAGTGTATTAACCTCTTAGACCACTCAGGTCTTCTAGTTCAAGCCTATACTCTGTAAATCCGAAACTAGAACCAAATATGGAGAAGCAGCATTTAGTTCCTATTCTCCTCTGATCTGGAACAAACTCCCAGAAGACTGGAAAGGTGCGGAAAGCCTGAGTTATTTTAAATCAAATCAAAGTTAAAAACTCATTTGTTTAGAACTGCCTTTTAAAGTTAAACTGTTACCTGAGGTGTTATTCGTGTAAGGTTTGGGTCCAACTGTTTTATTTGTTTTAACAATCTTTTGGCTTGTTTTTTCATCTTTATTTAATTCATGTAAAGCACTTTGAATCGTCCATGTACTGAATTACACTATACTAAAAACACTTGTCTGTCTTGCCTTGCCTTGTCTATATAACCAAGTGTTTATGTGCTGATGAGGATGCAGCAAATAGTCTAATTATACTTTGTATATAAAAATATATCTGAATAAAAAAGTCAATGATGCAATTATATTGTAAAGTACAGTTATTGTACACCTGAAGGATGAGGTATTGATGACAAATTTGTAGGTAAATAAAGTTGCATATTCCACAGTTTTTAACTATTAAAAGATGGATGTAAGTTTATTGTAATCCAAGCCATCTCTGAGTAGCAGAGTCAAATGCAGGAAGTGTTGCAACTGTCTCTAATACATCCTCCACATAGTGAAACACGTGGGAGGCTGAGCCATGATCTGGGTTGATTTTCTTCAGATTGAACTTGGTTTTTGGGGTCAAGATCAGTAACAAATGTTCTGAAATATGAGTCACAGCCGACCGATAAAGTTTAGATGCCTGCTAGAGAGCTGAAGATAAGGGGTTGATTTCATTACTCATCTCACAATGAGTCCAAGCACACATTCACATTAACAAAGGAGGCTTAACCCAAAAAGATCTGGGTTGGAATGCCCAGAGGACGAAGCTATAATTAAAGGGAAAGATGTTGGTTAAGATGTTGGTTACTTAAAGGTAGTGGAGGACAAGAGGTGTCGTTTCCAGTTGGATGTTTTTGAAGAAACTCTACTTATCTAAGGGAGAAAATATTGAAAGACTCCCACCAAAGAAAACTGAATCAAAAGGGAATTTTACTTTAATGCAAGCAGGTTATTACAATGTGTTATTTGTTTTAAGATAAACTGTTTAGGATAGAAGCCACATTAAAAGTTCATGGCTGAGTCAAAGCCTGGTATTTTAAATTTGACATTCTAAACCTTTTAG